AGCATAACCAGCGGCGCTTCGATAACGCAATAATGACAGAGCATTGGCTATGACGGTGGTGCAAAGTTTCAATCGCTATTTGTACGATCGCCTCGGAATACGTCCGACTGCGCCCTCCCGCGATGCATCCGGCGACTGTTGGGGTGATTCGAAACGACTTAAAACGACTCGATTCGCCATTGGAACGAGCGTCGATACAAGATTTCCGTCTCGGAGTTTTACGGCTGCCGAACCCTTTCGCTACGAGCTATTTAACCTTTCAACCTCTTCACGGACGTTAAACCTCCGCTAACCGACTTCCGGCGTGTCGGCCGACCGGAAGTCAACTGGCGTTTCTATCGCCGGCGACCGTAATAGAATCGTTCAAGTTTCTCACTGAAGAAGAAAGGTCTACGCGATTATTGGAAAATCTTGAGCGACTCTTTCTCTTTTCAACATTGCTAGCAGCAGAATGCTGTACTTCAGATTTCTTGAATCTTGTTTGTACACTTTTTGACAAAAAAGAAATCGCTGCACCACAAAGCGAGTTTCCTCAACCAGTGGAATAATGTATGTATTGTGTGGATAAAAAGATGAAAAAATATTAATTAAGAAAATCTGTGTCTCAAATGTTACAAATACTTTGTAAATCCAAATGTCACGGACTTGGAATTATTTTATTAAAATGCATCGATTTTGTTCTAAAACAGTGTACATCAAGAATATATATCTATATGTGACTATGCATTTTTGATTTCACAGATCTAATCATAGATACTTGGTTCTATAAAAATTCTTATCACAAATCTTTGATGTTTGATGTTTCTTTGATTTCAGTAATGTAGCTAATATAATGATTAAGCCGGTTTCTACATGTGTAATTAAGCAAATTCTTTATAATTAAGTAATTTTAGTTTCACAGAGTTTTAATTCTTTGTACTCTTTGAATAACACGTACATTATTGACCAGAAGTTTGAATAGATATAATTATATTACAGTATAAATACGGCTTTTATTCATTAATTTCTCTTGATGTCTGTGCGTTCAGAATAATAATGAAATATTTTGAATGAAGTATTAAGGATATAAACATTTTGATTAAAATGATATTAAAATCTTAATTTTATGGAGGATAATATGTATTGTAATAATACGGACATAAAAATAATAAATTCTATTTTAATAGATGTAAAACAATATTGCAGGTTAAAAAAACATTAAAACATTACTAACAAGAATATCCCGCATTTGTTAAGTCATTAAAGCTTGCAAAGAGGTTTTTTTTTGTTTGAGAAGTTTAAGATATAAAAATATTATTTTAATTTAATAAACCAATGTAGAGTAAATAAAAATCACTCTTTACATTACTGTCAGAATTCTTTTGTTACTCAAGATAAAAAAAAATAGTAATTATAGTATCGAGAATTTGTGAATCAACCATTAATGAAAAGTTTAATACACTAAACAGTATATTAAACTTTTCACGAATGGTCGATTCACAAATTCTCAATTTCACGGAGACGACATAAATTTTCGTAAATAATCCATACAAAATCTGATGTCAAGCAGAAAGGAATTAAACAAATAAACAACTCCTGTACCTCGGTGCGCTTTCGTCGTAACTTGTTCCAGTTCCGCGTGAATCATTTATATGCCGCTTTTATGGCGTTCGCATTAAAAATCACGACTTTACAATTTCCGCAGTCCGCGCAGTCATCACAGACGCGGCGCTTTACGTTCCGGGCTAGTTGGAAAGCTCACTTAGTTTTCGACTGCTCGATACAACAACCCTCCACCCCTCCCTTCCCGTCCTGGATTTAATATCCGTAAAGAGAGATAGGGAGGTTAAATAGCTTGTGACGCGGCAGGGGACGGGGAGGAAACGCCGTAAAACTCGGCCGACGTTTCCGCGTCGCCGAGAAATTATTACGAAGAATTTCCAGTCGTCGCGCGCGCGTAGCCGAATCTCCTGCGTTTCTATATCTTGTTGCTGACGGAACTTTTAACACTACAACGCCGTTAATTTGTCTTGTAATTTTTAGAGATAAAAGAATTGATTCTATATTGATTAAGGATCAAATCGCTGAAAAAAAATCGCGGTAGTTGCGAAACTCTACGCATCCGTCGCGTTTCTTTTTGCGCTGAGATTTTGTAAATAAAAAAAATTGTTGCAGTTCTCGTCAACATGTTTGTTCAATTTGTCAAATTTTGCGAAATAAATTTGCGTTCTAATATTGTAAGCGAGAAGTCGAGCGTGCAACGGTGTAAATACGTAATTTTATGTTAACGCGAAGCAATTTAACGCAAGCTCGCGCGGTTATTGTAATTCCGTTTGTTTACAAATTTGCATGTTACCTCTATCACGCGCGCGAAAGAGACCTATATTTTGTGAAATTACGAGCGAATATTGGAGAATTGCCGTAACAATGCACGTATATTCTCGTGTGACTTGTCGTAAGCAGTAATGCATTTTTTGAACACCGCTGATTCGTTAATTCTTTTCGACAATACTTTTAATTACTTCTAACGAAAGGGAAACGCCCGTTATTTTATCATTGTTTGTAGTTTGGAATTGAGGCATTGTTTGAAGCTGGCTTGATTATCATTTTTTGTAAAGCAATTTTTCTTAACTTATTCTTTCCTCTAGCAGCCTCTTTTTTAATATTGCTGAGTCTGAACAAGCCCCAACGAGATTCTTAAGTAGAATTCCCGGCGGTTTCCCCTTCATCGATCCAATTATCTTGCCGAGTGGTCGTCGTGCTTTTTTCGCGTTTCGTCCCTCGTCATTTGTCAGAATATTAACGCGGTCCCCGTCTACTTGAGCGACTTTCGCCGGGGTCGAATTTGAAAAGAGGATTCAAGACCTTTGGAGAAAGTTTTCTTAAATACGCACGAATTCCTTAAAAGAGTAACGGCCAAAAATCGTTCAATTATTTTCACGGTACGCGGAGAAGCATCTCTCGCGTCGCGACACATGGAGGTGATTCAGTCTGCCGTAAAGAGCGCCGAAGTGAAAGATTATCGACTGCGCGCGAGTTTCGCGATATTTCTCTCCGAAGCGAATCTCGCCGTTTTTCCGCAGTCGTGAATTTTACTTTTGCGCAGCATGTCGACTCTTCGATACAGACATTTCGATAAAATGATAAAGAATAATAACAAGATACATATCTGAAAATATACAATCTAAAGATCGCTAAAGATTGCGCATTTTAAAAAGGGTTATAAGCGACAGATATTCCTATTCTTCGTAAGAGCGAAAAGATCTGATTTAATTAAATAAAATTTCCGTCGAGTAATGGATGCGGCTGGAAATTTCGGTATCGCAACTTCGGAGGTGCGCTGAAGCAAAAGAACATTGATTATACCGAGTTTCGCCGCGAGTCTCGCGACATTTTCCTGCGGGCACCTTCGCCCGATCCGCACAGTTGTGGATTTCATTTCCACATCGTGAATTTTATTTCTGCTCTGAACTTTATTTCTATTATAAATTTTATTTTCGCGACTCACGCGCGGAAATATTTTCTTGAAATTGTAAAATAACAATAATACAGCACATACGCTCGCGCGTGACGAAATGCATCTGGGTTAAAAATATGTTGCAAAACGCCGGTGTACAATAAATGCTTCCATTGCGAATACGAAAGTATCTATAATGGATTTTATTCCCCCTATGAAATATTTATTATGATTTAGATTATCAGCTGTGATTAAACTTTCAGTTGCATTAGCCGCGAGCGGCTGTATTGCGCGCGCGCTAATATTATAGGATAACATCTCTTTCAATACATATTAAGCATGATGCCCGTGTTCAGTGTATCCGTACTTTATAATTAAAACTCCACCCGCGCCACATTAATAAAACGTCGGATTCATCCCCGGAGAATTATTCGCGAGAGGCGAGTACGTGTCATCGATTAGTGTCGTCGGAGCGACAAATAATCTCACTGTGCGCGCGATACCGAGCCGCAGCGTCACCCTGAATTTCAATAATTTCTCATTATCCAACGCTTTTGAAATCATTATTCCCCGCGTCTGCGATAAAGCGTACATCGTTATCTCCCTTTTGGCTATCGGTCCGAATCACGTATATCTTAGACTTACCTGCAATACGTAGATGCAGAGGAGGAAAACTTCTTATCTTGCTCCCTTTAAGTTTTCTCGGAGATCTCTCTTCGAAGATGCCGGATGTAAGCTACTTTGTAGCTTTCCTTTGTAATATCTGCGAGCAAAAATTCCCTCCTTGGCGTGTAACCAGGAAAGTCTCTGGCGACTCTTAAATGGCAATGGGACGGCAAGATGGAAATCATGAAATCATGGAATCACGAACAGCCGAACAGTGAAAATATCGCGAATTACGCGCGTATTTTCAAGTCGCGTTTGTTTCCTTCTTCTAAATCCCTTTATCCTGTCGCGCTTCTTTCGGGCGATTTCCCCCGCGAGCATACAATTTGCGAGCTACGCTGTAATCCTTGTGCGACCAGTTGAACATGTTTGCCGCAGAATTTCCCTTAAAATTCAGTCAAATATTGCTGTGTTACAAAAAATGCTATTGAATGAACACGATAAATAATTAACAGATCAAAGAATTGTAAAATTATCACATGACACTTGTAACACGACTGAGACGAATTAATTTCTAAAGTAAAGAATGTTTGATATAAGAATCAGTATTCTTGTCCCTTTGAAATTTGAATAATTCATTACTGAGATATCAACATACGAAATTTAATTCACGAGTTAAAAAGTTGGAAACGAGTTCGGAAGCGAAATATCACAAAGTGAACTTTACAGTTAGAAAACTGACGAATTGACCAACTATCGTAACAATTTCTGTACTCTGCTGATACGGAAACTTCTGCGAAATAGATATCTTTCGCAATTTTACATCACATCGCGATACCTGTCGGCTGGAATCGCTCATGAAGGACGGCTTATGTAATTCTTCCCTCCAAGAACTAAAAAGTAAAAATGGGAAGAGGGGGCGTCGCGGTGGAACCGCGCGCAAGAAGAAAAACCGGGCTTTAATACAAAAGCTATCTTTATTCCTTTAATCTCATATCAGTCGTGAAAAATCCTTCGCTACATCCAAAGTACATACGACATGTGCAGAATCGAATACATTACGTTATACACGGTAATACAAATCGTATTGCTCAATCGTTCGGAACATCGTGTATACCTGAAACTGTATGCGTGTGTCAGAGTGTGAGTATACGTGTGTGTGTGTGTGTGTGTGTGTGTGTGTGTGTGTGTGTGTGTGTGTGTGTGTGTGTGTGTGTGTGTGTAAGTACGTAAACGAGGATGTACGTGTGTGCGTCTGTCCGTGATTGTGTATGCGTGATTGTGTCTGCGAGCGTCGGCGAGTCGTAACTCTCCGCGGGAGTTTTACGGTCGAGAAAAGGAGGGTGGTTTACGCGGAAGAGGAGAGGGGGGGAGGCGGAGCGGCAGGATGGGTGGTTTCGAAGGAGATCGATTCAAGTGTGGCTTCGGCCCTCATTTTCCGTGTATACTTAATGTTATCTTTCTTCTTTCTCTCTCTCTCTTTCACGCTCTCTCTTTCGCACTATTTTTCACTATCTTCCCGTCATACACACACTCCCGTCATAATCGACCTCGCAGCGTGAGAATTTATACACTCCATATTCGCCACTGAATATTCTTCTTCTAAGACACCCTGTATAAAAATCGAGTGAATAAGATCCCCGTGTTTGCGCGCTGCTCTACACTGTTATGAATAGCGATTGATCTTTTCTGATTTGTTTTCCATAGAAAGCTCTCTCCGTGAGACGAGAGATCGATGTGGCGTTGGGAGAATTTTTAATGCGAAATACCGATACATGCAAATGTATTAATTTAATATAATATACTCTCCCGATAGTCCCGGAAGGGACGTTTTCCATTTAACCGGAAAGCTCCCACACCCCGTCCCCGCCCCGTCGCTAGCCCTTAACTTCTGACGTGCATACCCGACGGGTGGAGTTAGCGGGAGTTTCGTCGGGCGGCTGATTAATGCATCGACGTGTGATTACATTTACCGGAAAGCATCGTGGCAGCGCGTTGTGAATGTGAGGGAAGTTAATAGGGCGGGCCGCTTTCCTCGCGAGATTTTCCTCGCCGGCGTGAATGTTTCACCGCTCGCGAGCGAGCCGGCGCGAGAGGAAAGCCGATTAATATTCACGACCGATCTCGGGACGCTAAGCCTTTATATGATGAAATTCCGCGCGTATGATTTCCTTGCGAAATTTAATTCGACCGATTTATCAGAGCGGAATTTTGTTTCAGAAGTGTTTCCCATCTGCACCGAAAATATTGAAAAGTCGCGAGAATTGAAAAATTGGAGATTCCGCGGAAAGATAACTCCGTTCGCGTATAATTTCCTTATGAAATACAACGCAAAAATGTATCTCGTGTCTCAACGGATTCTCGAGGAAAATCCGAGAAAGCTTTCCATAAAAACCGAGATCGTTACCGAACGGACCTGCGGCCACTATTATAATTAGCGCGCACACAGGACGAAAAGAGAATAAATAAGAAGCGAAAAGGGATTGAACGGAAAAAGAGAAAATGTGTTTCACTCAAACGAGCCGCAAACGAGCGAATGCAATATCGCCTGCGAGCAAGATCGTTAAACTTCGCTACTGTTTTTCTTGTTCCAACGTTTAACTGCTGCTGGCTCGTCAATTCGACAAAAATAAATACACACGAAGGAAGCGACAGATTTCGCAATGATAAATTTTTATCTACGAAAAAACGATCTGAGAGGATGGCGTCGAAGTGGAAACATAAAAACCGAAAATTGTCGTTTGGATTTTTTCGCTAGAGAGAAATTGTTTTGAATGTGTTGCGTTTGAATTTTTCTTTTCGCCGGGCTTTAATCGATGCGAATAAATATGCATGAGGCGCCTAGAAAAGTGTATAAAAAATTTTCACGTATGGAAAATATGATTTGAAAAAATCGTTTCTCTTTAAAAGAAACGCCGACGTAAAATCGTCAAAACATTTGTTTCTGGTTACTTTAATGTATTAAATGAAATAATTACCTTTAAAATGTACTCTCCTCGAGGAAATACGTTGCATTTTCTCGCAGAATTTAACTCGATTTAACGATGTTATTCATTGAAATTGCAGGCGAGGTCTTTTGAGAAAGTTCTTTAAGAAGGTCCTTTAAGGAAATGGCGATTAAATGCAAGGATGTGCGATTCCTAATTATTTAATTTCCGAAATACTTCTCCGCACTTAAAATGCGATGTTTAAACGCCTGGCTGATATTTCGTGTATTTTTCTTTTTACTTCGCAAGGTTGAGAAATAACAATGCAAAATTTCTAAAAAATAAAAATAAAACACATTATAGGAGGAATATTTTGCAGAACAATCTTGATGAAAGCACTTTTCAAATTTAAATCTAATTAAACCACGTTCACGATGGTTTTAGTACGATCGCATACATTTTCGTCGCGTTTTTGTCGAAAACACGGCCTAATGGCACATCCATTCATGGCAGATTAATTGAAATTCGCAAAATTGACCGCGCGCGTCGAAGTTATTCTCGTTAGCAAGCTCGTTTAAAAAGTTCTAATTAAATGAAACGACGAATGCGGAACTCTCTTTGCAAAATTTCGTCACTGCGTAAAATTGCGTTTGCTTCTAAAACTCGATATTCGAAAGTCGCCTATCCGCCGACAACGTTATATGATCAAGTTTAAATGAACATTAGTTATTATGTATAATTTTTACATTTACAACAGAAATTTTGCAATTGTCTGTTTTTAAAAGCTAAATATTTATATTCCATTAAAAGATAATTTCAATTTCGACATGTTACCCGGCAGCTCTTTTCTACGTTACTTTATTAATTTGCTTGTGAAAATGGTCGATTTTAATTTAATTTAAAACAGTCAATTTTAGTTTACTAAAAATAAACAATTTACCAAAACAATTTTTATTTCTCTTCGTAATGCAAACCTATGTTCATGTTTCCTTGCCTAAAAAATCATTTTTGTTTCGTTTAAAATTTCAACAAAATGTAGATAAATTAGTTACCTTGAAAGAGAATGAAATATTATGCGCGAAGACAAATTTCGTGTTATCTCAAGGATGAAGCTTAAAGGACGCAGGCAGGATTCTATATCCCTGCCAGTCGCCAGACTGGAAGGCAAACACTGTTCATCCGTGAATCGCGTCGTGATTACGGCGACGGAAAGGAAACCAGTTTCCTCGTCGCCGGGTACTTCCGACGATGAAAGGACGCCCGGCACCCTTTCTCGGGACGCATTCTTCCGTCACATCCGGCGCCACCTTGCACTTATGATAATTCGTCATTAGCCCATCAACATTTTCTAAATCGTCGGGACTCGCGAGCTTTGCTGACGCGGAGCGTTATCAAACCTCAGTTCTTTCTCTCGTCGTAACAATGCCATTTAACGTTCCCATTCTATTTCACGTTTATTGGCTATACGTCGGTCGATTTTATTTGAGGACGAAGCCAGCACGAATCGCAATCTCGAAGACACCTGTGAAAAATAACTACTTTCACCGATTCTTGTTCCTTAGTGTTTTAGTCGCGCCATATAATATGTATATATCTATCTGTGTCATGTGTATATATATTTATATATATATATATATATTCATATGTATATAGATGTACAGAGTGTCTCGGAAAAGATGTATACCATTCCCTCGAATAGAGATTAAATTGCAAAAATTTCCTATAATAAAAAATCTAATTACACAACAAAACAAACAAATAAGGAAATTAAAATTTAAATAAAAATATAAGCGACAAAACAACGGGCGAAAACACAATTTAAATAAACCAATAAAAAAAAAAACTCATAATGTGTGTGTGTGTGTTGAAAGTTTCCTGAAATAAAAAGTTTTCATAATTATTTTAATATTAAATTAAAACTTTTCAAGACCATTAAATATAAATGGTTTTTGAAGGTAAATTTTAAATCCGTTAAAATCTTTTGCCGAATCCTCTGGTACACACAGTTTTCGGAGCACTCTGTACGTTCAACGGTCTCTGTACATCAGGTCGAGCGCCAGTGCGGCCTCCTAATCTCGCACAGTTCGCCAATCTTAAACACCAAGTTAACATTATTATCACTACAGCAGAATTCGCTACAACTGCGTCTCCGCCTGAAACACCAGGATCGAAAGTCCTCGATCGAAATTAACAATACAACTGTCGATACATCTGTCCTTGTAAGTCTAAAACCAAATGCTGTCGGTGGGTGCGAGGATGTCTTGAGCAGATTTTCGGATCACTATCACCCCGTAGAGCGGGATGTAAACGCTGTTTTCAACCCTAAACAATACCAGAGTAATCCAAGAGACGTCAATAATGACCGAAGCGCACACTTCTATTATTACACATTCAACGAACAATAATAAACGTCATATGTTTTCCGATATTACTCGTTTGAAATTCGGCAAAACGATTTTCGAAAAATCTGTCACAAGAGAGATACAGCAAACCATAAATGTGAACATCCTCAAATATTTATATTATTTACGATTAAAAGGCTATAGCGTCCTCTTTTATTATCGTTATATCTTTATCGGTCCGTTCTGCAATTATCGGTTCGTCGCAGCCGATTAAAACTTTCCGGGGTCAACATGAACAATTAAACTTAATTAATTTCACATTTTCTCAGCGAGTCTCCTCCTCGTCCAAAAGAGGAGCCGCTTTGAGCACCAGTCACGTTCTTACTCGCCACGTTGAAAGCGCGTCTTCCCCGAGACGCGTTTCACTCGATCGAGTCCGCCAAACATTTATCTATCACTTTAAGGATCAGTCACGCCATCTTGGTTCCTTTTCAGCGCGACCGAACGTTTCTCCTTGGAGCGCGTCCAAAGGACGTCGTCGTATTTCACCAGTGCGCGACACGCCGTTTAAATAAATCCGCCCGCCGTTTTGGTGTCCGAAAAAGCACTCTCCGCATTTTAAACGCGATCCGCGTAAATTTTTCGGAGTCGATTTCCCTCGAACGCGCAAGCGCGCGACTCGCGTCGTTCCAGACGCACGAGCATTTGCATCGTCCTTCTCGAGTCTGACGAGAGTTGCGCGTCGCACCGACGTTCGGGACATGCCTTCTGATTAATCTATTACGTCCCCATACAGCGCCAAGACGAGTCCTTTGTTCGCGCCGTTTCTCGGCGGCCCTGTTCCGCCAATCACATCCTGGACCCTGTTATCCTCTGCGAATTAATCTGGTAGCGTGACGAGGACAGATTTCCTCCTTAACGCTGGTAATTCGGCTTGCCCGCAGCTTCGTTAAGATCTTCATGCTTGACGCGCGTGGGAGAAGATTGTAAAATTATTCGAAAATTTATTATGTAAACGTGCGGATGAATCATCGTTATTCCTGTCGATAGTTCGATATATTGAGCAAAAAGAATGCGGGCAGATCTGTTTTCTTGAATCGTGATGATTGTTTCGTCAGCGACACGTATAAGAATTTGTGTAAGAAAATGATTTTCTTACATTCCAAACAATATTAAAGTAGTCAAAAGTTATTCATATATATATATATATATGTTCAATATTTTACTTACTTTTAAAATTAATTCGTTATCCCAAGATAAAACTGTTTCGTAAAAATGTAGACAACGGCTTCTTCTTCGACAATTCCCAAGAAAATTGTGCACGATTGTTAACACTATTTTTCTTTTTTAGTTTCTTGCCTTTAAAAAATTTCAATTATGGCGGTTTCCAGAAATAAATTGTTCAGTCTAAAACATTCTTCCTTCGGGATAAATTCACGAGAAGAGAACTGAAACTCACAAAAAAGCGAACGATACGTCAGTCTTATTCACTTATTATATCCAGAATATATCTCCCACGCTTTTCAGAACCGACGATTATTCACCTCGTCGTCCACTGGCCATTTTTCAGACGTCCATAGCGTCTCCTACGTAGCCCTCGTCGGGACTCTCTGGGTGATTCGGCGGTTGAAGCTCCTCTGCTCTTGCGGCGGCCGCAGCCGCAGCCTCGCGGGCAGTTTTACTGAGCAAGGATCGCGGCGATAAGGGGGTGGTCTCGCCGCGATAGGCCGCCGGAGGTGACGGTATGAAGGGTACTTCCGGAAAGACGGCGATCGGCGAGACCGGCGATTGTAGAGGCAGCTGTTGCTGGATCGGTTGCTCGACCGGCTGGATCGCCTGAATCGGTTGAATCGGCGACGGCATCGTCTGCTGCGGTTGCTGCTGCTGAAGTTGCTGATGTTGATGCGTCGGATAGGGGTAGCCCTCGGCAGTGTACCTGGCGTCGGTTCGCGACAACACGGGATCGTATCCCGGCGATCTCGCGAGGAACTCGGCCTCGCGCGAGTATCTTGCGGCCGGCGCGGCCGCCGAGCCGGGCTCCGTCATCCGCGTGCGGAGCCTCGGCAGCGTGCTGGCGGTGCTAAAAGAGATCTTGGGCAGGCCAAAGTTCAACGGATAACCATCCTGGTCCAGATAACTCATCTGCGGCAGGACCGGCGGCGGTCGCAGATCCGGCTGCAGCGGATAGCCCGAATCATATTCTAGGATCTGCCGGTCGACACCGCCGGCGCGCTGATGATGCCGCCCGTACAGCTGGCCGTAGCCCACTTCAGTGCTCTCGGGCACCTCGTTAATTAGATCCGGTTCGGTCAGGTACTTGGCGACCGGACTTGCCACTCGATACGCGTCCCGGTCCGGATTGTTTCGCGAGTGCTCGCGGCGCTCGAGGGTGGCCGCGCGATTGATCTCGCGCTCGGTGTAGGAAACCATCTGCTGATGCTCCAAGCCGATCAGGCTGCCGTTGCCTTTTCGGCAAGTGCCGCCGCCGCCGCCGCCGGCGGTGTCCTTCGTGATCGGCATCACCGATTTGCTCTGCGTCACCAGCGCTTTCGAGTTGCGCTTTCGGTCGCGACGGCGTTTCTTCGCGCAGTAGATCACGCTGCCCACGAGGCAGCCCAGCGCCAGAAGTGTGCCCACCAGCGCGCCGGCGGCTATCGCGGCCACGTAACCGGACGCGGGATTGTCAGATGGTGGCTCCACGGTGGTTTTCTCACGGAAGAGCACACGCAGGGAGAGATTTGCTTCCACGAAACCCGCGCTGTTTTCCGCAACGCAACCGTACGTGCCCTCGTCGAGCAACTCTACTGAGTAGAGGAACAGCGTACTGCTCATGTTGGTCCCGCCACGTTGCCGGTAGAAGTATCTGCAACAGATCCAGGAAAAATACAGTTTGATACGAAACGAATATGCCTGCAGTTTCGATCGACGCTCCGTAATTATCGCCAAATACTGGCAATAAGAGAAATTAATTAATTATTGAATTTATGTAAGAAGTTGAAACGTTGCTTTATAATAATCAAATTTTTCAATATTGAATTATAAAACGCGGTTATTCGTGCGTCAAATTTCGCATCTGTAATATTCGTAACTTTGAAACTTAAAACTGTGTTTTACATTACGAATATTATTTTTTATATTATAAATCTATTTTTCTCTAGTGTTCTTCTTTTTTCGCACTGAGTTTTAGATGATGGAATATTTCAACTCTTACTCAAATTTTCTTTGACTATTAATAATTAGATCTAAAATACGTTGCAAGATTCAATTACTTTGAATATGTGGTGGCATCGTTCGTCACGGAGTCGTTCTCGTTCTGCAGCTCGCACGGTACTTTGTTGAATGACCAGGTGACCTTGGCGGTCGGCACCGCGTAAACCTCGCATTTCAGAGTGACATTCTCGCCCTCGTAGACCTCTAAATTGTTCTGAAGTTCGATATGCGGCAGGCAGGCCAGATCGTTAATTTTGAGACTCTTAATTTGTCTGCCTTGCAATTTCTCCGGAACGCCGCAGACCGGCTCGGACTCTTGCGGCGCCGTCGAAGCCGAATCCTTCAGCCAACCCTGCATAGATCTGAGCCTACAGTCGCACTGCCACGGGTTGTTGTGAAGAGTCAGGCCGCGAAGATTGCTACCCAGCGGCAGAGTGTAATCGGGCACACGAGTGAGTCGATTGCCGTTCAGCCGTAACCACTCCAGCGAATCGAGACCCTCAAAGGCGCCCCGTTCGATCTCTTCGATCTCGCACTGACTAATCTCAAGATTAGTCAATTGGGTGAGCTTGCGGAAAGCGCCCTGTCGTATCTTCCGGATCCGATTGCCGTTCAGTATAAGCCGCATCAGGTTCGAGCAGAACGCGAACGTGTCCGTAGGCACATCCTCGATCAGATTCTCAGATAGATCGAGTTCGACGAGGCCGACCAGACCGACGAACGCCTCGGCGGCGATCTGACTGATGTGCGATCGGCTTAGATAAAGACGCTGCAAATTGGTCAGGCCGAGCTTGTGGAAACACTCCGCCGGCAGGTTCATCAATTGATTGTCCGATAGATCGAGCACCTGCGTTTCCTCCTGCGCGCCCATCGGCAGTCCGTTGAGGCCGCGGTTTGCGCACTCCACCCACTGCTTGCCGCCCTTCCACTTGCACGCGCACATGCTCGGGCAGTCCTTCGCCGCGCCCGCCACCCAGGATAGCAGCAGCAGCAACATCGCCCCGAGGAGGACAACCCTCCGTCGCCAGGCGGCCGATGCGATCGAGCACATGGCGCACTCTCATCGGGCGATAAACCCTCCCCCTTCCCCGCTCCTCTCCCTCGTCCGCCTATTCTTCCTCTCTTTGCGATCGTATTCTTCCCGTCCGTCCCCTATCGCATTTTTCGCTGACCTATGCCGCCCGCACGCGCTGGACCCCTCGGCGTGGCTGACGGGGAATTGCGGTGCTTCGATCGCGTCGATGGAACGGCGAGTGCGAGACCGCTGGCGACGTCATCAGCCTCGCACGCGACCGACAGGCGAAATTCTGCAACAACAAGATGATAGAAATCGGTGAGTCACGATATATTTCGGATTTCGACGTGTTCGAATTGAACAACGGACGGGCACGGGCGCGCGTGCGAGTGGATGGAATGATTCGCGAGAGACGTTACGACGGATTTCCGAGTAATTGAGTTTAAATGTTGTAAACTTGGGAATTAACTCACGCGCAACCAGCGGCGACCATTTTCGATCTTAACGAATTCCGTAATCCGGGCCGCATCACGCGCCTTGTTTCGAGTGGGAAGCCATTTCCGCCCGTAAATTTTTTATCAGCCCGGCGGCACCGACGACAATCGATTACGGGATTTCGCCTCTCCCGTGGGGTTTCGCCTCTCCTTCGCGAACGAAAGGGCTATTAAAGTCCCCAGCTGGAGATCAGGACTTGCCCGCAGAGTCTCGAGTCTCCCGTGGAAAAACAGTCGCCGTCGCGGCGCGGAAACTGCCGAATCCCTGGCAAGATGGTCTCACCGGGGTGCTTCCGGCATAGCGCGAGATGCAGGTTGAGAGAGAGGATAATAAATTCCACGAAGAGAGGGTGTGTATCCCGGGAGAGGAGAGGCGAGGATGTCGTGAGGAGAAACACTCCCGATATCAGGATATCGGAATATCGAGCGCGCCGCCCGTGCAGCGCGGCATGCAAACCTTCCGCTCTCCTTCGTGGCTTTATCCCGTGCGACGTAGCCTTTCTTCCGTGGAATGCAAAGGACGGGGAATGGTCTTGAGAGATATTGCCGATCCCGAATGTTTCGAATCCAATATCAACTGACCCCCGCTGCCCCCCTTCTCCTCCTCCTCCTCCCACCGCCAACCCGTCGAACTAGTGAGTCGCGGATTTTTCTTTTTTTGCAACTGCGTCTTTAAAAGTCGCTGCGCCGAGAGCGATGTGGAAAACGCGAACGTTGCAGATACAATCTTGACAGACCGCTCGACAGTTCACGTAATATCACGTGTCACGTGTAACTTGCCTTATCGGCGAAACAGGTATTTCTGCTTAGCGCACAAATCTGCTATTTAATTCCAGTTGCAATCATTTATAACTGTATCAAACTCTGTAAGTTAAGAAGACACATACGGCATATTACAAAAAAGAATTTAGAACTTATTGTTAGAAAATAGGCAGCACTTATTAAATTGAATAAAACGCTTGAACAATATAGATAAAAAAGTCAATTTAAGAAATAAGAGAGATTTTCTGATAATATAAATCACTTGCTGCATTCTTGCGTAGATCCATACAATTTTTTTATTTGAATAGATTTCTAGAATTTTTTTGTATATATAAAAATAAGATCATCTAAAGTAAATTCACGAGATATTTTATATTCCAGATATTTTGTTTTATTATATTTTGATTTAGATATAAAATATCTCTAAATTTTAGATCTAAATGTTAGAGATATTTTAAAATAAATATCTCTAACTATTTAGATATAAATTCTCTAATTTTGCTTGGTTTAATGAGTATTATTTACTCTCTAAATCCCAAACTCTTATTTAACTCCCTGTTTATCGCAATATTTAATTTTAGACAAACGCTAATTTTCTGAATTTGAAATTATCTTAAGTAGCAATTGCAAATACCAGACTATTTATAAGTCGAAATCACGATCGGGTCACGTTCTTTTCATCGCGCACTCGCAAATTATCGTCGTGCCGCTTCCCTCTGTGCATACCCGATGTCGTGTAAACGTGAATTCGCATAAATGAGAATCTCATGAAGCAAGAATCGCGCGCGGAAAAACGCGAGAAGACGCAAAAAACGACGGCGACGCTGTAGCTTCGTTCGTTCATTCGTTCGTTCGTTCGTTCATTCGTTCGTTCATTCGTTCGTTCCTTTCGCTTTTTCGCGCTCGCCCTCGGAATCGCGAGCTCGTTTAGTCGGCAACGTTTTCATCGGGATGCGAATTGTCGAGTCTAGAGGGGGATAAGAGTGGGG